ACTGCACTGATCAAGAATATTTCTAGAATACTACTTTCTGATCGGACTATTGAGTAGGTGGCTGAAGCAGAGAAGAGATATGTGATTTGAGGAATAAATAAAACCTGGTTAAGAGAAAACTTAAGTCTTTAAACACGAAGGTCTTCAAAGAATTCAGAGAATTAAAGAGACTTGTCCGAAACTAGACAAAAAAGAGGTAGAGCTGGGATTTAAACAAAGGTAAGTATTGACTCCAGAATGGTAAAAAGTCTACCGTTATGTAAATGTATGAAAATGTAGATTTTTTTTTTCCTTTGAGTTATGCAGTTTCACTTATTAAGTCCATCTGAAAAGGTTCAATCAGAAAATTCCAAGTTTTGAGGCACCTGGGTGGCTCAGTCGTTAAGCGTCTGCCTTTGGCTCAGGTCATGATCCCAGAGTCCTGGGATCGAGCCCCACATCGGGCTCCCTGCTCGGCGGGAAGCCTGCTTCTCCCGCTCCCACTCCCCCTGCTTGTGTTCTCTCTCTCGCTGTGTCTCTCTCTGTCAAATACATAAATAAAATCTTAAAAAAAAAAAAAAGAAAATTCCAAGTTTTATCCAAGAAATTCAGGTGTCTTATTTAACTTCACAACTTTAGGACTAGGTGCAACTCCTAGTACATATTGTGTGCTCAGTAAATATTTGCTCAGTGAATTAGCCAGTCCCTTTGCCTGTGTTGTGCATCGGTCCACTAACTGATATAAAACACATATACATTCAAACAAGAGAGAAACATTTTCCTGCAAGTCTTTTTTCCTTATCCCATTCCACATAACCATGTCTTTTAATCGCCTTTTTTTCCCCCTGGCAACTCCATTTCCCTCCCCGCCCCTTTCCTTTGTCCCACAGGCGAAGAAACCTCTCACTCCCACCTGGCCTCTTGGCCACCAGCCAAGATGAGTCTTCCTGCTTCTCATAATTGCTCATTTTGACTGACAGCTTCACAAACTAGGACAGTGGATCATGAGGACAGTAAAAACAGATCAGATTGTTTAGGAAGAGTGAGAAATAGAATTCTGACTACAACAAGGAAACCACATCCACAATATCTTTACTCATCCTTCACCAAAATTTTGTTTTCCTATTTTTCCCTCTTCATTATGAGAAGACTATAGGAGGATAATGGTAGAAAAATGAATAAATTGTGTTTAAATTAAAAAAAAAATTTCTCGGTACTATAAAAGGTTCTGAGACGTTCTAAGACCAAAAATTATGACACCTAAAATCTAGGCAGAGTTATTGGCAGGAAACAAGGTCTTTTTCAAGAGGGTTAAATTCTAACATAGCCGCAGAGTATTGTCAACATGCCAAGAAGAAAATCAGGTTAAAATTAATTGTTTGAGTCCTTTTGTTTCTCGCATCTATTCTCCATCTCTATATACCATACTGGCAAAGTCAGCACCAGAGACTCCACACCCAACTACCCACAGATTATCTAGTAACCTGATCCTGCAAATACACAGGATAAGAATGGAGAAGAAAAAAATCCCTTTACCTTAGAAAGAGATCTTTCAAATTCAGTAACATCTCATACAATGCTCACCATTTCGTTTATGCTCACAGAATCTTATTCTTAGGCTCCAAAATGAATCGTTTCAGGGTCAAATGGTTACAGCACTTCCACGAATGGGGGGGATACACATTTCAAATACAAAGTAGTACCAGTGCAAAGGTCACATGGAGAAAGAAATGAATCTTTCCCAACTGATCTCTGTTCACTTCAGAGATCACCCCCCAAATGAGGGTGGGAGAGAAAAAAGTTCTTAAAGGTGGATGTTTTGTATGTAGGCAAATATAGAACATGAGATTTTGCAAAGGTAAAAAAGTTTCTAGAAGCACATGAAGGCCAGTGATTAGCTCATAACCCATTTAAAGGCATGTGTAAAGTTTACCCGAAAATGGATGGTTTGCTTCTGCTTTTCCATTGGTGAATTTACCAGGTATTAAACTTACATTTAAAAGGTGTCATGGTAGAAGAAACAGAGGAGCAAACAAAGCCGGAGAGGTTGGGCTGATCTGGGAACTTGCTACCCATCAAATGCCAGTTAGGAATTGCCACAGTAGAGAATGGTACTTTCTAGACTGCAGCTCTATACCTAGCTTGTGCTGAATTTCAGGTTCTGCTTCTAGATTGAAAGGAAAAAAACACACACACACACAAAGATTTCCAGACCTGGGTGTTTAAAGGGCCCTTCACACAGTAAATCAACCTACTCCTGTCTTGTTTTCTCCTCAGCCAGACTGAAATAATACAGCACTAGCAGAGGTGTGAATTACCCCCATTCATCTTAATGGAGTGTTAACTTCAAAGGCTTGTTTTAACCATTTAAATGCTAAGCTCACGAGTAAACATTGTTAAAAAAAGGTACAATTTAAACATTCACCCTCAACATATGAAAGTAATTCATATTCTCAGCACTTGTCTTTTAATTTAGCAAACAAGTCTCCAAGTGTTAGAAAAGTATATATTTTGTGCTTTACTTAGTTTTATGTTAAATAGTTCTTACCTAATAAATTATGATCATTAAGCCCATAAAGCAAGGGCCTATATTTCCCAGGAAAAATGCAGCAGAGTACTTGAACAAGGTTTTTGGTAATCCCGGTGAAGGGGGCACTGCTCTTACCTGCCATTTTATTAGCTTCCTCCAAACTCTTGGGGAAGCTGTGACTCCAAACAGGCAATTAGATAAGGCAGAATATTAAAGTGAAATAATAATAATAATAAACTCTTCCACAAATATTTTTCTCTTGATATTAACTAAGTTTTGTGCAGGGTTTCAATAGGTTACTTGTCCCTTTGCCAAATTCTCATGATCCTATCCCATGAGCAGGTGACAAATATATTAACTGATGCCCAGCTGTCATCACACTTAACATTTGCCCCAGGGGGCATCCTTGCATCTGTTGCAGATTTAGGGTTATTTTGGTATTACTGGAATTAGATTTATGTAAGCAGCTGAACACCTATTTGTATTTGGATCTATAATTTCATAAACAGAAAAAGAGGGTACAAGAATTAGCTTATCAGACTGATGGGCTCTGGCTGACCTGAAGCCACATGGGAAGCCATGCCTGGCTGTGCCCCTGGGACCAGGCTAAGTGCCCATTTTCAGGAAGATATCAGTAGAAGAGTACAGCAGGGGCAGAACTGTGGGAAAACACTACAAAGAGTGCACATGGGGCCACTTCCCCTGAGAATGAATGCTAGAGAAAGAAATATATTAGCTGTGCAAGATGGAAGATGAGGAAATTCCACGTTCCTGATTGAAAGCAAATTTATTTTACTGGTCCAGATGAAGAGACAGGAAAAAGGGGATAACTATCTCATCTATTAAAAGAGCCTGTCTTGGTCTGCACCAATTTATACAAGGTCATTTAATCCTCTCAACAGAACCCTGTATAACTGGTATTAACTCCATTTAATACGTATGTGAAAGTGGAGGCTTAGAGAGGTTAAGTACTTTGCCTAAACTCACTGAGATTTGAATCTAAGTCTTTCTAACCCCCAAACTTGGACTTTTTCCATTATACTACACTTATCCCCAGTTGCCAAAGAAATATCTTAACTCAAAAGAGAAGCTCAGTTGTCAATTCTTCAGCCCATTTCCTAAGTGGGAAGCAAGGGGGCACCTGCAAAAGTGTGTATTTCCATACATGCAAATTGTACTTTGCATGCAATTCCCTACTTTACATGTGCACAAGGGTAGAATTACATTTTTACTGATACACCCTGGCTTTGGTAGGCTGCTAACAAGGTGTCCTTTACATAGAACACTCATGGGGAGGAGAGATCTAGCTTCTGGTTTCCTACCAGAAATAAGCCACATCAATGGTTAACAATGATTTCTAACCTCCACAGAAAATACGATATAAATCACTATTTGTCTCTGTTTGCCAAGTAGAAAGTCACATGTTGTAGTGACAAATGAGAAAGCTCAGAGAACTTCCAAATCCACAGCCAATCATCACAGCTCTATCTCATAATGAACAACAGGAAAATGACAAAAGTTTCTTAGAGAAGATTCAGAGGCAGGGCAAAATACCAAATGAAATAATCCCAGTTTTGTTATTGGTGATTAATGTTGACAACATTAACCCACAGCTAACATTCAATTTTGTATATAAGCTCAATACACTGATTTCTTAAAAAACAAACAAATGAAAGATTGACCCAGTATATTTAATAACATTAAAAACTTTTGCTCTGCCATAAACACTGTTGAGAGAATGAAAAGGCAAGCCACAGACTGGGAGAGTCTTTGCAAAACACATTATCTGATAAAGGACTGGTATCTAAAATACATAATGCATAAAACTCAACAATGAGAAAACAATCCAATTAAAAAAATGGATGAAAGATCTGAACCTTACCAAAGAAAATATACAGATGGCAAATAAGCCTATGAAAAGATGCTTAACATCATATGTCATTAGGGAAATGCAAATTGGAACAACAATGAGATACAACTATACACCCATTAGAATGGCAAAAATCCAAACCACTTACAAACCAAATGCGGGCGAGGATATGGAACAACAGGAACTCTCATTCATTGTTGTCAGGAATGTAATATATTACAGCCCGTTTGGAAGGCATTTTGGCAGTTTCTTATAAGACTAAATATATTCTTACCATATGACGCAGCAATTGTGCTCTTTGGTATTAACCCAAATAAGCTGAAACTTATATTCATGCAAAAACCTGCACACAAATGTTGACAGCAGCTTTATTCTTAACTCTGAAAGCAACCTAGAGGTCCTTCAACAGGTGAATGAAAAAATAAACTGGCACATCCATTACAATGGAGTATTATTCAATGATAATAAGAAATGAGCTATATGAAAATACATGGATGAAACTTAACTGCATTTTATTAAGTGAAAGCAGCCAGCCTCAAAGGTTAGATAATATATAATTCCAACTATATAACATTCTAGGAAAGGCTCACAGGGAAAGGCTCATAGTTTTTATGAAGGCAGTCAAGAGATCAGTGGTTGCCAATGCTTGCATCAATAGTGAACTCTAAGGTAAACTATTTACTTTAGTTAATAATACTGTATCAATATTGGCTCATCAAGTGTAACAAATGTACCACACTCACGCAAGATGTCAATAATATGGGAAACTATGGGTGTGCTGGCAGTGAGGGGATATAGAAGAATTCTGCATATTTTGTTCAATATTTCTGTAAACATTAAATCTACCTGAAAAAAACAAAATCTATTAATTTTTTTTTTTAAAGATTTTATTTATTTATTTGAGAGAGAGAGAATGAGAGATAGAGAGCACTAGAAGGAAGAGGGCAGAGGGAGAAGCAGACCCCCCTGCTGAGCAGGGAGCCCGATGCGGGACTCGATCCCGGGACTCCAGGATCATGACCTGAGCCGAAGGCAGTCACTTAACCAACTGAGCCACCCAGGCACCCCAAAATCTATTAATTTTTTAAAAATAAACCACAAAGATTGACCTAATGTATTGAAGAACATTTTGAATTTATTTTAATTAAAACTGTTATAAACCCACTTTCCCCTACCTACTCCCATTTTGTTCTGCTTTTCTGTTAATAATGTTTACAAAAATGTTTACCCATATAAAAAGGATTTATCCAAGGTGCCTTCCAGAATTACTCCTTTTTTTGCATATAGAGGTAAATTATTCTTCATAAGAAGTAGGAACATATTTCTTTCATTTATTAATCCAATTAAAAATGATTAGTGCTAAACTAAAATTCCCAACCAAAATTCCAAAGATGAGCAAAACAAAAGCCTGTGGAAATAAAACGATAAAGAACAATTAGAGTATTTTAAACCTCCACCTTCTCCAATAAAGTATGTTATAGTTCAAAATCCATTAACTTTCTTAATGTAGATAAAATAGTCAATTATAAAATGACAAGTTATTTCTTAAAACAGAATTCTTAAAAGAAATAAACAAAAGCTAACCTACCCCAAGCTTTTTCCATGAGAGAAAATCCTCTCTGCTAAGTTTAAGATAAAATAGTCCTGGGAATACAAAAATCAAACACGTTGATGTACTGGAACCTTTGAGCAGGAAAAAAAAAAAAAAAAGGGTATTGTCAGATTCAGATGTGAGGCTGGATGACAATTTTACCCATTTTGTTATATGGGATTTTTTGAAACAGAAAACTTACCAATTATACCAAATACATTCTTAATGTCAGGAACATATAATGCAAGTAAAACAATGATAATATTGACTGCTAGAGTGATCAAAGAATGGCGAATCCATGAGAATGGAAAGTTGGAGAAAAACATCATCATTAAAGCTTTCCTTGCCTGTATAACAGAAAAAGAAACAGATTTAAGCAAAGAAAAAGTGTCAAAACCAAAATACCTGCTTAGGGAAACACAGGTACAATACAGTAACCATGACATTCTTGCCCCCTACACCATTTAGATTTTTAAAATATAGCATAAACTATTATTAAAGTGTTTATGACTCATAAACTAAGAAATATACCTTTCTGTGTGAGCGTCATAAAAATTATTTTGCTTCAATTCTTGAAGAAACGTTCACATTCAATTTCTCTAGGTTGCATACTTTTCAAAATGACCAACAATAACACTGTGTGATGAGATCTCAATCATTTTCATTAAATTCACACACAGAAGAACAAAAGGTTAAAATAGAAAAAGAGGTCATGCTATGGGAAAGAAACATCATTTACTATTTTATTTTATATTATCTGTTTCATAGCATGTAAATATAAAAACTAATTCATGACACATCCCCCTTCATACACTGCCACCCCCCCATCCCCCGCGCCAAGGCACGCCTGGCAGAGCAGTTCACACAAGGAGTGGGCCAAAGATCTTGAAGGCCCAGTTCTTAGGGAGCTCACTGTTTAGGGGTTCAAGACATTCATGCAGAACCATTCATACCTAAAGCCTCTGTTTCCATTTTCTCAGAAATTCTTAAGATTCTTACATATGGCAACTAAATGCAGAATGAAGATCTGATCTGCCCCTTAATTATAATTCTAGAGCAAATAAAATATTTTGACTAGGATTAAATTAGAATGTCTATGTGAAAACAAATCTACAATAAACCAGAAGGAGCTTATTTTTGCTGACTTGACTTTTGCCTCTTCATGCACATTCTTTTGAAAACAGAATACAGAATTAAAGAGGGGGAAAAACCCAAAACTTTAGAAGAACCATAGTCTCTAAATTGGAAACAATGCTGTGGGAGAGCATAAATCTAAACTAAATCTCAAAAAGCACAAATTAGCTTAGTGGTTCACCGTTATTTCTGTGCTTTCATGGGGCCATATGCAAGTATGAGGTCTTTGATCAATTACTTGACAAATGAATAAGATATACAAGACTAGATGTGATTCAAACACTCTAGTCTGCAAAGCATTAGTGTTGCCATATTAGGGAGCTGCTACATTAAGCAACAAGCCCTTTAAGAATACTTACAGGGAAGTGGATTAGAGGGACTGTCAAAAGCACAGCAAATAGTATGCATAACTTCACAGTCATGATGACAACATCATGGGGCAAGTATGTGCTATAACCTTGCAGTAATTCTGACGCCACTTTGTCTGTCAATTAAAAAAATAATAATAAGGACCACATTATAAACTACTAAGATGTCAGTAACAGCAAAATTATTTTTCTTGCACAAATAGATCTTAACAAATTTTGGATTTTGGAACCTTTGAGCAGGAAGGCCTTTTCCCTATCCTATGAAACACAGAGACATTAGTTAAATATCTTCTTGAAAATTACAATCTTAAAATAAAAAGTATTTATATATAAAAGAAAATTACAATCTTTTCTTTTAAACCAGAAACCAGCACAGGCAGAACCTCTAAAATTATGACAATGAATATATACATATATAGTTATCTCTTTACAACTTTTCTATAATCTGAAGGTTTTGAACATTTATGTTTGTTTTGTAAGGTGCTTTCACATGTATTACTGAAAGTGTATCACATGTTTCCTTCCGATAACAATTAAGACAGGTAGCTAGGGTAAGAAATATTAACTGACTTGCCCAAGATCATACCACAAAAAGGGGAAGAGCTTCGCAGAGCTATACACCCCAATTTTTTTGGTGCCAAAGCCAACACCTTTTCCTCAATACCACAATGTTTTCTAGAATCTTACACTTCCGGGCATATTGCCTGCTTCATCAACATTTCATCTGTAGATTCCTCTTTCCTAAGAAAATGCAGTTGTAGGGAAACGCTTACTCGGCAAGCCAGTGTGGTAGTCAAGGGCAGAATGTGTACACACTGACCAGGCTTTGCTCCATGCTGTTCTTCCAGTTTCACAATATCTTCTGCACCCCCCGTCAGACAGGGGCATGAAGAGTGAGCGCTCTCAAGAGCACTCCATATCCTGCCTTGCAGGCAAAGATCAGTTTGTACTTAAAATGGAATGGTGCTTTTTAAATTTGAGAGTAATATGTATTGGAAAAGATGCTTTGGAGGAAATAAAAAAACAAGGATCTTAAAATATAAAGGAGCAATAAGATGCACACACCCATATAACAGAAAGTGGATAAACACAGATACACGCGTAAGTGGCAGTAGTCATTCTGAACAAAGAGCTACAGTGATTCTGAATAGGGAAAGGTAACTATGACTTTGGGATGAGCAAGCAGGAAATCCAGGGAGGCTTGGGGAGAGTCATCATGGTCTAGAGAATAGCAGGAAGGTAGAGGGCCCTGAATTCTGGGACTACACAGACTAATGTTCAAATTCCTCTACTTATTAGCACCTTAACTTCTCTGAGTCTCTCTGTTCTTACATCTGCAAAATGGGGACAGTAATATTTTGACCTGTGGATTACTGAGAGCATTAAATGAGTTAACGTATGTGTGGGGAAAGAGATTTTCTGTCAGAGCAAGAAGAGCACAGGCAGAAGCCCAAATGTAGCAATGAGAATATGCATCTAAGAAAATGAGTACCCAGTGGTACTACAGTGGCTGGAAGAGGATGTGCTAGAGAGCAAAGACAGTAGTGGGTGATATGGCCAGAAAATGCATTTACGACCCAGGAGCAGGGCTCTTCACAGGTAAACCCTATGAAGTGGGCCACAGAGACGCAATGACTTATGAAGATTAATGTATTATGATCTGAACTAAGCACGAAGAAAAAGATACCCAAAACAGAAATAACAGGAGGTTACTGTCATAATCACTGAGAGGTAATGAGAAACTGAACTAGACCAGTGATAATGGAAATGGGAGAGAAACTAATTGTCTAACATATGAAAGAACTACTTTACACGATGTGAGACTAGTGGACTAAAGTAAGAGATTAAGAAGAGCCAGGAAAGCTGGGTATTATTTCCAAACCTGAGATATTTGTAAGCCTTTGAAAAAATATGGCAAACTCTTTTATTTCCACTTTCTGAGTCATGAAAGTGAGCTATTAACACTTAGTGCTTAACAATTTTGTACTTTTAAAATAGTCTGGTTATGATGTAACATTTGGGCATAGGCCTGGCTCCCCAGAGGAACACTTTTTCTCCCTCACCTTATGACACTTTAACATCTATAAAGAGCCAGTACTATTAATCCAGGTACATACTTATAGGTCCCTGTAATCTGACAAAATTTAGATATTAACTAAGCTTTGGGAGCACTGGATAAAAGGATCCCAAGCAGCTCCAGAAGCCTGAAGAACTAGATTTATTATAAATTCAAAATATCTGTTACATATCCGCTTTCTACTTTCCCAGGATGAAAACACTTCATCTGAGACAGTCAATTCTGTGTTCTTAGCTGAGCCTTAACATATGTAAGGGATAGAGTACAACACACTTCTCTGAATTCAGACAAATCTCTATAAATCTCAGTAAGGATATGACAGTGATCTCTGCAAGTTATATATACTATTACATCAGCCATATGAAGTTTATACAGATTACCATAGAGTAGCAGAAAGATCACTGGATTAGGATTCAGGAGACATGCCACTAAATGTGTGACATGTCACGTCACTTCTCTGGGCTTCAGCTACTCATTTACAAAATGAGTTGAAGGCCTTAACTTATGACTAGCCCTTGTGATAATTGCTCAATCAACAATTTTTTTCCATAAGACTGAGAGCTACTGTTATCTCAATAGAAATATATCATAAAAGATGTTCCTTAATTATAATTAACAACCCCCCACAAGCTAATGTAAACAGCAAAATCAATACCTGAATTCTCTTTTATCTTTGGAGAAGGAATTACTTTTATATCATTCTTCTTATCTATCACCCACCTATGATGAGATTTTTCTTAGATGTGTACTTCTCCATTAGAGAAAATGTGGATACTCTGAAGAATTTGCAGTGGATTAAGTCAGAGACAACATTAACAGCTTTACCTGATAACAAGGACAATCCCTGTGTAGGAAATACTTCACTTACATAATGAAAATGTTTAGCCTCTGTGTTCACGTAACAACAGATAGATAGGTATATAGGTAGGTAGGTAGGTAGGTGAAGACACATAGATATGCTTGGAGCTTAAGTGAGCCAGGTTTTTCCAAAAGCTCACTAACAAAAACTTGGGATGAAGGAAATCTCGGTTCTATTGCATAATTCCTGAGGAGGCAACATGATAACAAAAACACTCACTCTGGAGAAAAGTCAGAACTGGATTCAAAGCCCAGCTTGTTATTCATTAGCTGCAGGTATCTGGCTGGCTGAACCGCTCACCCTATGTGAACCTATACCTTGTAGAGTTGTAAGGATTAAATTAAGCAATGTATATAAAATACTGGGCATTTACATAGTAAATGTTAGCTCAATAAATGTATTAGTATCCGTCCTTCCTCCACTTTCCTTTCAATCTGAGCTTTCTTAAAATTTAGTACTGCATCTCACAGTAATTTACGTAACTATTCCTCAGCAATCCTGGAGATTGGCAGGCCATCTGTGGCTTCTTCCAGACAGCTATTTATCCATAAGGTGGAGGAAGAGGTCTATTTTTTGGATTTTTTCTCAAAGTTGAAGATCACTAAATAGAAGAGTATTTGTGCCAGGTGACAATTTTACTTTAGAAAAATATACAGCTATTCTGTTATACTAAGTTTTTGCTGAATCCCAACAGAGAACCTGCTACAGTATCTTACTGATCTAGAAAAGTCTTATTGAGCTCAAGTCTGTACAAAAATTTACAAACCCAACAACCAAAACTAGAGTTTATGTAGTTCAAGAATCCTGCTTCATCAGCAATGATCAAAAAAGCTTAACCATCTGCCTTAATTTTCTTTGTAGTGTATCCAGCAGGGTACCATAGTCATGTTGGAAATAATGCTTTTCCTGATGGTGTACACAGAGCTCTACTATACTACTCTTATCCTACATCAGTATTAAAATGCAAGAGCAGATTTAGATTAATGAATGGCCTTTATTACTGTTAAAATAGCACAGAGATAATAAGAAAAGGACTATATGGCAATTATAATTTTCTCATACTCTGAAAACTCCAAGATCATACTCATAACATAGTACTATAGAGTTACCATATTTAACTTAAATTCCATTAAAGATAGTGAGAAGTAAAGGGCTGAAAAACTGAACACCTGAAATTATAAAATAACTACAACGCTAATGATAATAATAATAGTAACCATCAGTAGTAGCTCTCCTTTGTGGAAGACTGCTATGTGCCAGAGACTGTAACAGGCATGTTACACATACCTCATTTCCTTCTCAATACAACTCCACAAAATTACCCGTCACAGATTAGGAGACGAAGAGATTACAAAGGTGAGCCTCCTGTTCAAGGTCATAGAGCAGAGTAGTTATCTGTACCACATTGGATTTCAAAATCCATACTCTTTCCACTGGGATTAGGAAAGGGAGCTGGTTTAGTAAAGGCAGCTGTGCAAGTAAATGTTGTCCAAAAACTTGTCAGACTTGGAAAAACTCTGGGAGAGAAGCAAAGTGCCACTGAAGTAATCATGGCCATCTAAGACCTGCAGCATGCGCACAAGGCTATCAACCATGAAATAAATCAGTCATAACAGCTAAGTATCACCAGAGTAGTAACTGCCATTTACTTGGAGAGTTGTTATAAAAGCGCTCAGAAGCTGAAAAATGTAATCAAGAATTGACAAGTTGAGTGCAATTTGTTACAATGGCTTTGTCTGCAAATTAAATATGTTTGCAAATTAAAGAGACTACGATTTTTTTTCTTATTCTAGACTTTTAAGTTTCAGTTTTTCTTGAGGTTCTTTTCAGAACAGAAAAAAACATACCAAGCAGGCAATTTTTCAAAAATAAAAAAAAAATTACTGTTATTTTAAGAATTTAAAACAATCCTTTGGGGCGCCTGGGTGGCTCAGTTGGTTAAGCAACTGCCTTCGGCTCAGGTCATGATCCTGGAGTCCCTGGATCGAGTCCCGCATCGGGCTCCCTGCTCGGCAGGGAGCCTGCTTCTCCCTCTGACCCTCCCCCCTCTCATGTGCTCTCTCTCTCTCATTCTCTCTGTCTCAAAAAAAAAAAAAAAAAATCTTTAAAACAATCCTTTACAAAATTTATGGGAAAAGATCATGGTGCATCATAGAACACACATTGCCAAATTGTGTGAATTAAGTCTGAAGGCAAAGATCTCTGATATCTAAGCGTACAATTATAACCAAGTGTAAACCCTTTCCTTTCGTAACTTGTTCTTTTGCAATTAAGATGATTGATTCTCCCAACCTCCCAAACTGAACTAGAGTCTAACATATTGAATTCTCAATTAAAAAATAAAATCATTGGGCGCCTGGGTGGCTCAGTCGGTTAAGTGACTGCCTTCGGCTCCCTGCTCAGCAGGGGGTCTGCTTCTCCCTCTGACCCTCTTCCCTCTCGTGCTCTCTGTCTCTCATTCTCTCTCTAATAAATAAATAAAATCTTTAAAAAAAATAAAAATAAAATAAAATCATTATTGCACATTTTTTTCTTGTGGAAAGACAGCAATGTCCCTGAGCTTTATTTAGGTGTTTAAGAAAATTTTCATACGAAGTTATTAATCTTGAACTTGATCCACATTTATTAAAAGAAAGAAAATCAATTTTTGAAGATCCATAAAGTTACTACAGTACTGCACTGAATTCCAGCAGCCTAAACAAATTAACTTACTAATGAAAGGCAGAAACAAAGTCTATCTTCAGGTGTGAGATCAACTATAGAATAATTTCTTTTGTCACTGGTAGTTAAATAATATACTTACCATAAAAAGTGAGGTACCCAAAGAGTGCAGATATAAAATAAATGAGAAAACTTAAAGCAATTGCTGTGTGGGTTACATTTTGCATTCTTTTCTTTGAAGGACTAAAAGACAAAAATGGCAAAAGTAGAAACTATGATCTGAATGATATATATCTAAAGAAACAAATATCTCCCAAGCTAGCCAAGAGGATTCCTTAATTGTTCAAGACCTACTTTATTAATAACTATATATTAGAATTTCTGATTTGAAATTACTGCACAAAGATTATGCTTCCAGGAAACATTCTCAAGTTGGACAGAACTAACTCTCAGTTGTTTTATTTTATTTTTTTTCGTGTCTGTAGATATTTATTTTTTCAACTTCAGGGTATTTATTAAAAATATTAACAGGGATCACATTAAATTTGTATATTAACTTGGAGAGAATTTACATCTTTACCATACTGAATTTTTTTTTTTTTTTATGTTCAGTAAGCCAGCATATCAGTTGTTTTGTTTTAAACTAACACTTAGGGGCACCTGGCTGGCTCAGTCGGTAGAAGAGCATGTTTTGGGGTTGTGAGTTCAAGCCCCACACTGGGTGTAGAGCTTACTTAAAAATAAAATCTTTAAAATAAATAAATAAACTAACACTTAGTTTCCCAGTGATGGGAAAGAAGGATTCATAAAGGAGAATGTCATTCAATTTGAAAGTCTAAGTAAAAAGAAATACTTAATACACTTAAAATATTTCAGGATTCTATGGTACCTTTGAAGTTCACAGTATATTGGCAATACTGAGGTATGGCAGAGAAATGAAAAAGCCATGGTAGGTATGGCATAAACACTCTGGAAAAGAATTTAAAAAGATGAAATTATTAAATGCTATCCTGTTGAAACCACTACTCCATTTGACAATAAACTCAGTTCTTAAAAAAAAAATCAATTTGGTTAAATTTATTTCATCTTTCACGAATCATCTCTTTATAAAATAAGGGTGTTTTGTTTGTTTGTAAAGAGATGCATGAGTATGGTCACCAACGAATGTTTTACTTGATAGTTGGACTGCCTGTGCTAGCCAGAATATTTCTTGGCTGGCTTCTATACCATGTTGGGAGTACCATCAACTGAATCTAAGGGAATACTGAAAATACTAATCACATCTTACCATCTTTAACTAGGATCTGTTTCTTCTTTTTTTTTAAAATATTTTATTTATTTATTTGACGGAGAGAGGGAGCACAAGCAGGGGGAGTGGGGGAGGGAGAAGCAGCCTTCCCGCGGAGCAGGGAGCCTGATGTGGGGCTCGATCCCAGGACCCTGGGATCATGACCTGAGCCGAAGGCAGACGCTTAACGACTGAGCCACCCAAGTGCCTCAACTAGATCTGTTTCAATGGGAATGAATATGATATATTCCCGACTAACAAATTCTTAAAGATCCATTGGAATACAGAAACATAAGTGTTTTTTTTATTAGAATACTTAAGAGCCAGAGGAAGTTATAAAGCGAACAAAGTCATCATCTAAGTGAAAATACTGTCTTTATAAAATGGGTGGTGATGATTTACTTTCTCTTTTCTACTATAAAAAGATTACCCTCGGAGAGCCTGGCTGGCTCAGTTGTTAAGCGTCTGCCTTCGGCTCAGGTCATGATCCCGGGGTCCTGGGATCAAGCCCCGCACTGGGCTCCCTGCTCGACGGAGAGCCTGCTTCTCCCTCTCCCACTCCCTCTGCTTGTGTTCCCTCTCTCGCTGTCTCTCTGTCAAATAAACAAACACTTAAAAAAAAAAAAAAGATTACCCTCTAATTAACAGCTTTAGGCTTTTCAACAAAAATTCCAGATGACTGAAGGAAGACCTATCTTGGGATATAATGCCTCCTAAAATATCTGAAGGGAGCTGCAAAGGAAAGCGGTAGCATTTCCTGAAGCTGGATTAGGGGAATGAGAGTTTAATTCACAAATTCTCTTTCATATATTGCTCAATTTCCTGGCTTGTCAATTACTCCACCTAGATAGATCTTTAAGGCAGACAGCCTTTACCATGTAAAGGATGTGGTAATCTCCCTTGTGGAGTCAGAGAGACATTTCTCATTGAAAAACTGGGGATAAAAAGGAAAATTCTGCATGGAGGACTTAGCACACTAACATGCTACACTAATAGAGTTGTACAAGAGTGGAGGAGATTCTAGTATCTGGGACTTGGATTTCAACAGAATCAAAAAATGTAGATGAAGAAACTTGCGGCAACAGGGAAGACTGTGGGCTCTTCTAGAATGGTAGAGTAGAAATCATCCATATCACAGTTCCTGTCTCCTCTGCCAATACTCAGGGGCTCTTAACAGACATTTCCAGTATCCTGGTTCTCAGAGATGGCAAGGAGACTTGGTCTTCTAGTCTCCACTCCAAGCGTCATAAATTTCAACTTTGGAATGTCAGCCAGAATATATATTGGCAGCACTCAATTGCTGGTCCAATGATGAAGCTGTTTAGCTACAGACCGAGGTTCTACTCACAGGGGAGGAGTTTTTGATATAATTGGCTATTTAGCTTTACAAGTCCAGAGGGCAACAGGAAGTCTGTATCCACAGAGGACCTTATTGGCCAGACCAGACATTTGGTAAATCTGTTCTTTTGGGCAGTGGCCCATTTAAAACAGGCTCCATTTAAAAGTATGCCAAAAAAAAAAAAAAAAAAAGGTGGCTGTTTCATAATGGGCCACCCTGTGTTAAATAATATTATTCTTCTGGTAGGCAACCCTATACTTAGCATTTTCATGAAAATTAATTAGTTACAGGTACAAAGACCTAAGAGACCCTGTTACACAAATCTCTTAAAACTTGAAATGTGAAAAATCAACCAAAAGTATCTGTTAATAACTTACACACCTCTTTGGAGAAATGAAAGAGCTTTGGTTTACAATCATCTGTAGCATTTGAAATCTGTTTAAGAGGATTGAGGGGAAAAAGAGAAACCAACAGTCATTAAAAATCAGAATACATCAACAAAAATGATGTATTTATTATTAGTAGGCTTTCAAATAAAAATATTTCAAAACAAAGTTCCAAATTGCAATATAGCCATTACTTTTTCATTAATTAGGGAAAAAAATCATTATTAGTCTGATTTTTTCTTTTTAGCTTAAAATAAAAAGAAACAAAATATAAACTATTACCTGGAAGTATTGCCCTACATAATTTAATGGCAGAGGACAAGGAATGGACCATTTTTTAATCATCACCTGTAAAAATAAATAGAATCCACACTCAAGATTATTTCTTATAAAATTCATGACAAGGCATTGATTTCAAACAGGTCAGCATTATTTCAATTAAACTAATACCATACCAAATAATAGCTAATAGAAGATTCTTTGCTCATATTATCTTTTTCCAGTTAGAATGGGTCATCCTTTAACATGGATACCTATCGTGAGGGGAGAGGGGATGCTGTATATCTATTTAGTGGGGTTCTCCCCCATTAAAGACAGAGAGTATTCTCATGTCAACTGTCAACTTTCCAAACCCGAAAAGCACCAAGGCATTAAAAAAAAAAAAAAGTACAACTCTAAATGGGAACCTGATGTTTTTAGTGACAATGGTATAAAACTATGGCTATTTGTGGACCTGGCATCAGTAGCAGATCGAGAAATATTAATAGTAGTTTGGGAGATGGCCACAGGCAGAAGTAAGTAAAGAACTTATGCAAAGCAGGAGTTCTGATGGAGAAGTACTGTCCTGCTGGCTTTTTTCAGACTTGCATTAGTTTTAGTAAATGTATATAAAGCGGGCTAAGAAAAGAGCACATAGCTAGCGAGCTCTAGCTGGTAAAAAGAAATTTTTAAAAAATTAAAAGAAATCCAGAGGGATGTTATTTCCCTGAAATAATCAATGCAAATATCTCGGGATTTTACTCTGGATTGTGGCCATCCTTCTCCTAGACCTACAGCTGCGGTCGTGTGGACATTACCATGTTGCAGTAGTTTTGGGGCACATAATTATTCTGTAAATATTTGCTCCAGGCTGGAACCCAGCATACACAGGGGCAAGGGAGAATAAAGGAGGCATTTGTCCTTAGCAGGAGACCAATAAGGAAATACTAGTCCTATTCCTATTTGGTATTTATCTAGTTTTGGATTTTAACTAATTCAAAACAAAATTTTATATACTGATAAAACAAATCTAAGGAAAACATACACTTTTAGAATTAAGTTAATGAGTGTTAGAACTAAAGAATTACTCTTAATTAAAACCCTCATCAAGGAAAAAGAAAAAGAAATAAAAGGGTAAACTGAGCAAGTTGCTTGGACATTGGACATTTATTTCAATATGAAATAAAACTAAATGGTCAACTTACCAAGAGGAAAAAAAATTAAAAGCAATGATTTCACATCTGTTTTCTGATATGTTTTCAAAAAAAGGATGAGGATGGGGCAGGGCAGAAGCTAGAGCAGCACGGTTGTCACTGGTCTCTCTCCTGGCCCGACTCCAAATGCAGGTTGCACATCTCCCCCTTCCTAACAGTGGTGGGGTGGCGGCAGCAACCATATACTGAGCACTTGGGTACCAAGTACTTTGACAAGGTTGGAATGTGAGCTAGCTCATTTATTTTATCAGCTATTCTTACTTGGCTTGGAAATCAAAATATTTCAAAACAATGCTCCAAAATACAATATAATGATTCTTTCATTCATTTTCAATGAATTCCTAGTTAATGAAAAAGTCATTAGCAGTTTGGTTTTATATTAATATAAAGTTCAGTTACTATAGCTAATTTCCCTGCAGAGACCAATCCTAAGCCTAAGCCTGCCCAGTAGGATGGTGAGATGTGCTGTTCTATAACGCAGAGTACAGCATGGGAATAGTAAGATACCCAACAACGAAGCGTTAACAGGGAGTCCTTGCTTCCGTTGAAGACAGAACATGGTAAGAAGACAACTCCAGGGGTTAGAAAGACAAAGGGAAAAACAATTCACTTGTGTAAAAGGCCCTTCCTTCTCTCTGTCCTAACTTCTTCCCATCTTTCAAGGCTCAGGTCAAGTTTAATTTCCTTCTCTCCTGTCAACTGCTGTGATTCTTATTCTGAAGCAAATAAATCAATGCTTAATTAGGTACTGTCTATATTGTTGTCTATTTTTTTCCAATTAATTTTTCTCATCTCCCCTATGAGATTGCCAGATCCTTATGAGCAGTGTCCACAAATCTATCTGAAGCACCAATCATGCCTCACTCAGTGCTCAGAACAAGCAAAGCTTCTGACTACAAACCATCCAAACTGTTTCCTACTTTGATTACTGGCTTACTAAAATATTACTTAAGATACTAATCTGCATTCAAGACAGAACTTTTGGAAAGAATGGCAATCCATTAGTTTTCTGAAACGGACCAAAAAAGGTAAATCTATCTGGTTACTGTCATTCTTGACCCACTATTAAAATAAAATGAATTTTAAAAATTTTAGATATTTCAGAGGGGGGCAAAATTTTATGTTAAAATTTTTAGGCAAAATAAGGATCTGGGGCAACAGATAAGACTGTAAGTTTTGGGGTGCCTGGGTGGCTCAGTTGGTTGAGCTTCAGACTCTTGCTCTCAGGGTCGTGAGTTCGAGCCCCATGTTGGGCTCCAAGCTAGGCCTGGAGCCTACTAAAAAAATAAATAAAATTTAAAAAAAAGACTAAGTTTTGCTTTCCATCTGGTGGCAGCTCAAAGGTCAGCCACGATGGGCACTTACAAGTCCATCCAGGAGCTATGGAGGAACAAGCAGTCCCATGTAATGCACTTTCTTCTCGGCGTGTGCTGCTGGCAGTACCCACGCTGTGTGTGCTCCACAGGGCTCCCCCAGGCCCCCAAAGCAGGCGGATAAAGCGTGCAGACTGGGGTACAAGGCCAAGCAAGGTTATGTCATATATCAGATTCACTGTAGTGGCCCCAAATGCTGTTCCTAACGGTGAGACCTCGAGCCAGCCTGTCCATCACGGTGCTAACCAGCTAAGGTTTGCCAGAAGCCTTCAGTGGGTTGCAGAGGAGTGAGCTGGATGCCACTGTTGGGCTCTGAGAGTCCTGAATTCTTACTGGGTTGGCAAAGATTCCAGGTACAAATTCTTTGAGGTTATCCTCATTGATCCATCCCATAAAGCTATGAGAAGAAATCCTGACAGCCGGTGGATCGCCAAACTGGTCCACAAGCACCGGGCGATGCCAGGGCTGACATCTGCCGGCCGCACAAGCCGCGACAAAGGCTTCCAGGTTCCAGCAGACTATGAGCGGTTCTTGCTGTGCAGCACGGAGAAGACACGATACTCTCCAGCTCCACTGTGTAAGTAATGTTTGTAAAATCCTTACCTAATAAACAGTTGAGCTCAGGCATGGTTGCTCAAAAGTGTTCTTTGTCTGTTAAAATGAGTTGTCTGCAGATTGTTCCATGAATGTGTTGTCAAACTATGAAGTGATGGTGTGTCTTGTTTCTAATAAGATAAACACTTTTGTCTTTGCTTTACGTCATCAGGGAGTTTATATGCCAGTGTTTAAAATGCTGTTTGGTATAATAGGTGTAAAATAAATTCTGTAAAAGTGGAATGCAGAAGCTAGCCATCTCATCTGTGGGTGCATATAATGAAACCTACAGCTTCACTGGGGTGATGTAATGCTCTGCTGGTTTACTCCCAAATGGTTGTTTTTAGGGGTTTGGTAAGAACAAACTTTTTAAATTGGATTTTGCTTGGCAATGTGAAGAACATTCAAATCCCTTATCATAATCATATGCAGAATAATAAAGTTAATTAACTAGGGTCCTCATTTTTAGGTTTAATCCAATATTCCACTTAAGTAACTGCTGCTTTTGAAAGAATAGTTCAAAAGAATGCCACCATTTTTAGAAGAATTGAATAAACCCATTGTAAGAGGGTTCTCTTACAAATGAAAATAAATCCTGCTTAACCTAAGCAAAATTGCCTTGATCTCCACAGTACCACTGAGGTTCACATAAAACATGGAGGCTTCTGATTCTATCCCATGACTCCATGGGATCTGTAGAATACCGAATTCCATACAAAGCAGTCAGTATAGTATTTACACCAGTGTATATTAAAACTGTAGAAACTGAACATTAGGTAAATGAGAAGATTTTACCTTAAGACTTGTAAGCTAGTAACCAATGCTAGGATTGGGAAACTGGTAGCCATCAGATAACCTTTTACATGTGAGGATAAAAAATTAAAGTCAGCTGTGATCAGAATTTAAAAAAAAACCTGTAAGTTTCGATTTACATTATTTGGAGAGTGTAATTTAAGAAAGTAATAGATTTCTGGACTGATTTTTTAAAAAATTTTTATATTAAGAATTTTTTTTAAATGTAATATAGATATTATATAGATTTATAAATACATATTGACAAAATAGTAAATGGAGCGAGCCATTGATACAATTCCAAAAAGTCTGGGTTGATATATACATGTTTCCTTTCCCTAACCATTATGTATTTCAAAACCTAATTATTTAGAAAGTCTAAAATAAAAGTCACAATTAAAAGGAACATTTTTTAAAAAGTCTTCATTGTCCCATTGTAGATCAAATTTAAACTGTGCTCACAGGTAAAAATCTGAGCAGATGGTTTGTAAAGCATTACAATAAGTACAGAATAAGGGCATTATGTCCATATGACTGCTACAGTAAGAAATCTGCATCAAATTTAAGAGTATCTGCCATGACAGAAATGAATATTGTGAAAACTACAAAAGACATATCGTATCAATATATTTCACATGCTTCAAACTACTGGCTATAAAAACCAAATTATTCTTACCTATGCAATGCTTGGATTGCCAATTATCTGTGAGGAAAAAATTCAGTGTTATCTAGACTGATTCTCTTTCACATCCATATGTTCATTTGCATACAAAGGTCATTCCTAGCCAAAAAGATGCTTCTCACAGTTTATGAAACTGGACTACTTTCTAACACCATATAGAAAAATAAATTCAAAATGGATTAAAGATGCTTAATTAGGATTAAACGTGAGACCTAAAACCATAAAATTCCTAGAAAAGAACACAGGCAGTAATTTCTCTGACATCAGCCATGGCAACATTTTTCTAGACATGTCTCCTGAGGCAAGAGAAATGAAAGCAAAAATAAACTATTTGGACTACATTAAAATAAAAAGCTTTTGCACAGTGAAGGAAACCACCAGAAAAACAAAAAGAAAACCTACTGAATGGGAGAAGATATAGGGGATATCCAAAATACATAAAGAACATATACAACCCAATGTCAAAAAAACAATCCAATTAAAAAATGGACAGAGGGGTTAAAGAGACATTTTTCCAAAGAGGACATACAGATGGCCAACGGACACATGAAAAGATGTTCAGCATCACTAATTATCAGGGAAATGCAAATCAAAACCACAATGAGATATTACCTTACACCTATCAGAATGACTAAAATCAGAAAGACAAAAAATAACAGGTGCCGGTGAAGATGTAGGAAAAAAGAACCCTCAGGCACTGTTGAAAGGAATGTAAATGGTACAGTCACTGTAGAAAATAGTATGGAGGTACCCCAAAATATTTAAAATAGAAATACCATATGATTCAATATTCCACTACAGGGTATTTACCCAAAGAAAACAAAAACACTAATTCAAAAAGATATATGCATCTTTATGTTTATTAAAGTACTATTTACAATAGCCAAGAAATGGGAGTAACCTAAATACCCATCAACAGACAAATAGATAAGGAAAATGGATGTGTGTGTGTGTGTGTACACAATGGAATATCACACAGCCACAAAGAAGGATGAGATAGTGCCATTTGCAACAATACAGACAGACCTAGAGGGTATTTTGCTAAGTGAAATAAGTCAGACTGAAAAAGACAAATACCATATGATTTCACTCATATGTGGAATCTAAAAAAACAGATGAATTTAAAAAAGCAGAATCAGACCTATAAAAACAGAACAAACTGGGGGCGCCTGGGTGGCTCAGTCATTAAGCGTCTGCCTTCGGCTCAGGTCATGATCCCAGGGTCCTGGGATCGAGCCCTGCATCGGGCTCCCTGCTCGGCGGGAAGCCTGCTTCTCCCTCTCCCACTCCCCCTGCTTGTGTTCCCTCTCTCGCTGTCTCTCTGTCAAATAAATAAATAAAATCTTAAAAAAAACAAAACAAAAACAGAACAAACTGATGGTGCCCAGAAGAGAGGAGGGAAGGGGGTTGGGCAAAATGGATAAAGGGGACTGGGAGAAACAGACTCCCAGTTATGGAATGAATAAGTCACAGAAATAAAAGGTCCAGCATAAGGAATATATAGTCAGTGATACTGAAATAGCATTGTATGGTGACAAATGCCAGCTACCGTTACGGTGAGCAAGGCATAATGTACAAACTTATCACATCACTATGTTGTACACCTGCAGCTCATGTAACACTGTGTCAACTACTCAAAAAATAAAGTACCACTGCAAAAAAAATCCATTTATGGTAAGAATAACTGTTGTCTCCCTTTTCCATGTGGAGCCTAAAACGTGTATGTTCATGGATGTTACCTAAACTCCTTATGGTAATCATTTTGCTATATATGTAAGTCAAGTCTTTATGCTGTACACCTTAAGCTTATACAGTGCTGTATGTCAATCATATCTAAATTAATTGAAGGGGGGAAAAAGCATATGTTTGATTCATTTACTTCTAAGATAGAAGTCAGATAATTTGAGGTGGGGAGGGCAATCATTTTTAATGGTGATAAGTTCAACAAATGATTAAATGTAAACACTGTTAAGTATTTTAGTTTTAAGAGCATCCATTTAAGTATTTTTGTACACTAAAACCAGGGTGACTTCCACTTCATTTAAATAATCTAAAGTTGCTTTATCTTTGCATCCCAGAAGAGAGTTCAACCTAAATTAAATGCATCCTAGATTGTTGTGACAGCTTGAAAATCTGGCTCTATAATATGGTTTAACTACTGGTGTGTTGTGTTGCTCCTTTGGGTAGCATTTTCTTTCACTAATTTTTCAACAACAAGGAAGAGCTGAAAAACATACACACCCAGTATTATACAGAAATAAACTGATACACACACCTACACAAAGAATTAAACTTCATCTAAGGTTTTAACAGAATCAGTGTGCTCTCCTTTCTAGTTAACCAAAAGAGATACTGCATTTGGAAGGATGCTCTAGCTAAGCCTCTTCAAAATAGATACAATAAAGGAAATAATTTTGTGGAATAAAAGTGCTTTTAATAACATACTGAAATAAAACTCTGACAGAAAACAGAGTTAAAAGAAAAAAAGAAGACATTAACACAATAAGTTCAATTTCAGTGAGGAGATAAGCAATATGCTATATTTTAAACTTACCACAAGAGCAAAGAACACCATAAAGAAAAATGATAAACTACTTGTGTAGCCAAGAAAGCCTGTAAAATAACAGTAAAATAAAAAGCAATTTATAAGGAAAGTGATCCTAACATACAGCTAAAGCTATACATCTTGGGCATGTTTTCCATTACAGTGCTTGGTATCTGGGGCTTAGGGCTGAGAATAAAAACATTCCAACTATCTGTCACAGATCATTTATGCAGCTCCGTACAGCAGAAGTGGAACTGGCTTACCACTAATGGTACACTGGGAGGAAAAGCTGCTCTTTAATGTTCCACTGTAAAGATTTTATTTTAGTGGGGCAGACAAAATACTACTGCAAACCAAGTAATAGGCTAACTAGGCAAGGCTGAAGGCTGAACAACCTAAAATAAGTCCAAGTTCAAAATTTTCACTGCTACCACCCTTCTGCTAAAAATGTGGTACTGTGAAATTTAAAAGCCCCTTAACATTATTTTCTTTCTTCCTTCCTTCCAAACAAAAACTGTCCTCTTCTCTAAAGACTTACCTATTTTAGGAAGAAGTGCAAGAGGGAACACAATGCCAACACAAATGATTATTAGTAGTGTTTGTCCATCGAGATACCAAGACCTATTAGAAAAAAAAATAATAATCGTATTTTAGGCCCAGGAATCCAGTGCTCGTGTTTGCGCACACACACAGTTATAACCATTACAACCATCCACTAGGAAAAGCCTACTTCCTTTCATTAAAATATGTTCTTGTGAAATCCTGTTACTCTTATTGATGAATTTATATTTAAGAAATGTATCAAAACAATGAGATGCCATTTTCCAACTACCAAATTAGCAAGTATTTGAAAGTAAGATAATGGTCATTGTTGGTGAGAAGTGACAAGGTGTACACAACAGTGGTGAAGGTAGGGGTGCCTGGGTGGCTCAGTTGGTTAAAAGTCTGGCTGTTGTTTTTGGCTCCTCATGAAATCAGGGTCCCGGGATTAAGCCCCAGGGTCAGCCTCTGTGCTCAGTGGGGAGTCTGCTTAAGGATTCTCTCCCTCTTTCTCTGCCCCTTCCCCCTGCTCGGGTGCATGCACTCTCTCTCTAAAATAAATAAATAAATCTTTAAAACTGGTGAAGGTAAAAACTGTGTATATTACCTTTCTGGAAAGCAATATGGCAAAAGATACTGAAAAACTTCAAATATTTAACACTTACAGAAGACTATTAAAAATAAACAATCAGGGGGTGCCTGGGTGGCTCAGTTGGTTAAGTGTCTGACTCTTGATTTTGGCTCAGGTCATGACCTCAGTGTTGTGAGATAGAGGCCCTAGACGGCTCTGTGCTGGGTATGGAGCCTGCTTAAGATTCTCCCCCATCGCCCTCTGCCCGCCCCCACCCCTCCCTGCTCATGTGCACTCTCTCTCAAAAAATAAATAAATAAATAATCAGTTGGGGCGCCTGGGAGGCTCAGCCAGTTAAGTGTCTTAACTCTTGATTTCAGCATTTCAGCCCAGGCCTTAATCTCAGGGTTGTGAGTACAAGCCCTGCACTGGGCTCCATGCTGGTTGTGGAGCCTACTTAAAAAAAAAATAATAATAATAATAAACAATTCCCAACAAGGACAAAAATATTTGTAAAAAGATGTTTACTGAAAACATTTAAAATATTGAAAACTGGAAACAAATAGCTAAGACCACAACAATTTTTAAAAACAAATTATGGGACTATGGGATGATCATAAAAAAGAAAATTTTACAGGTATAATAATGAATAATATAATGATATGAAAACATCCTAAATATATATAGCATGATTAGCAATTCTGAGGAAAAGTGGAAAAGAACTGCAACATACTGATAGCCATCATCCCTGGGTGGCAGAATGATGGGTAAGTTTTCTTCTTTACAAAGTTTTCTATATTTTTCAAATTTTCAAGAAAGAGCATGAATTACCAGGGAAAAAAAAGTATTACATTTTTCATATAAAGGCATTAGAATACTAAATGAAAAAAAAGGTAAGTTAAAAGTGTGATGATGTATTTGATTACTTAAAAAAACTGAATGAACATTAACAAAAAGGTCAGAAGGATATTCTTAAAATACCAGAAGAAGATATTTCTATGTGGTAGCAATATGAGCAATTTTTATTTTTCCCTTGTTTGCATATAGATGGTTTCAATTTTCCAATATAAATACATGTGTGGAACTTTTAAAAAGTTAGAGTTAATTCCCCAAGAATTTAACAGTAAAGACTTCACTTTAGTATGTAAAGGACAGACAATTCATGAAAGAAGTATAACTAGTAAATACACATGAAGAAAAGTCCAATCTCTGGTGCTAATTAAAGAAATAAATATGAGGCTGTTGAAATTAACCTAGTAAAATGATTTAAAAAGTAATATTGAAGAATGTGGCATAACTGGTCCTTCAGGCATTGCTAGTGATCTTGTCCATTAGTACTACTTCTGGAAAAACAATGACATTATGTAGAAAAAGCAATAAAAACATGGTAATCTAAGAAAATAAATATAATATAAAAAATTCTATGTGCATGAAGCTATGAATACAACATTACCATAACATTAAGAAGCAAGCTGGAGGGAAGTTCTATATATTTAACAATAGAAAATATTAGGCCCATAAAAGCATATTCAGTGGAATGCTATGCAGTTTTTTTAAAAAAAGACAATTTAGTAAAATGGAAAATACTAATGATAAAAATATAAAATATGTGGTTATTAACTATGTTCTAAAAAGCTTTTTGAGAAAAATTAAAAGGAAATAAAACAACAATGATTAGGTAAGAGATGGTATTACATATGATTTTTATTTGCTCTCTTTTCTAAATTTTCTATAATCATTTTTCACTGAAACATATACACAATTATAATAGTAACAAAGTATAATTAATGTCTATATGGCAGCTGGAGCATCAAAGACAATAGGGATTATTTTTTCAAATCATTTGGCAGATACTCTCCGAGTTCCCAGCTGGTGAAAATGCATTCTCTTTTTCTACCAGGTAGCTAAAGTCACCCACTGACATGTTAAATTAAGAAAATGGATAAATTCCTAGAAACATACAACATATCAAAATCATGAGAAATAGAAAATATGAACAGAGCAATAATGAGTAAAGAAAATGAATCAGTAATCAAAAATTTCCCAACAAAGAAAAGCCCAGGACCAGATAGTTTTACTGGTGAATTCTACCAAATATTTAAAGAAGAATTTATGCCAATCCTTCTCAAACTCTTCTAAAAAATCTAAAGAGAAGGGAACACTCTCAAACTCATTTGACAAGGGCAGCATACTCTAATATGAAAGCCAGATAAGGACACTATGAAAAAAGAAAAGTACACATCAATATCCCTGATGAATATAGATGCAAAAATCCTCAACAAAATATTAACAAAATGAATTCAATGGCACATTAAAAAGATCATACACCATGATTAAGTGGAATTTATCCCTGGAATGCAACGATGGTTGAACATATGCAAATCAATAAATGTGATACAGCATATGAATAGGTTGAAAGATAAAAATCATATGATCACCTCAACAGATGCAGAAAAAGCATCTGACAAAATACAGTAACTTTTATAATAAAAGTCTTCAACAAATTGGGTATAGAAGGAACATACCTCAATATATAAAGGCCATATACAACAAACCTACAGCTAACATCATACTCAAGAGTGAAAGGCTGAAAGCTTTTTCTCTAAGATCAGGAACAACACAAGGGTGCCAACTCTCACCACTCTTATTAAACACAGTACTGGAAATCCAGCTAGAACAAATCAGGCAAGATAAAAAAAATAAATAAAAGACATCCAAACTGGAAAGGAAACAGTAAATCTGTCTTTATTTGCAGATCATATGATCTTATAAGGAGACTATCCTAAAGACTCAACCAAAAACTAATCAACACATTCAGTAAAGTTGCAGTTTACAAAATTAACATACAGAAATCAGTTACATTTCTATACACTAACAATAAAATATCTGAAAAAAATAAAACAATCCTATTTACAATAACATCAAAAACAATAAAATATGTAGGAATAAATTTAACCAAGGAACTGGAAGATCAGTACACCGAAAACTGCAAGATTTTAATGACAGAAATTGAAGAAGACACAAATGGAAAGATATCTTGTTTATGTTCATGGATAGGAAAAATTAATTTGTTAAAATGTCCATACTACCCAAAGCCATCTATAGATTTAATGCAATCCCTATCAAGATTCAAATGACACTTTTTTACAGAAATAGAACAATCCTAAAATTTGTATGGAACCATAGAAGATCCCGCATAGCCAAAGCAATCCTGAGAGAGAAAACAAAACATCACACTTCCTGATCTCAAACTAAACTACAAAGCTGTTATAGTACTCAAAACAGTAGAGTACTGGCATAAAAATAGACACACAGACCAATGGAATGAATAAAGAGCTCAGAAATAACTCTGTGCTCATATACAGCCAAACTGCTATCTGACAAGGGAGCCAAGAGTGTTCAATGGGGGAAAAAGTCTCTTCAATAAACGGTGTCATGAAAACTGGATAAACACATGCAGAAAAATGAAACTGGACTCCTATCTTATACCACTCACAAAAATTAACTTGAAATGGATTAAAGACTTAAATGTAGTATCTGAAACCATAAAACTTCTACAAGAAAACAAAGGGGGAAAGCTCCTTGACATTGGCCTTGGCAATAATTTTTTGGATATGATACCAAAAGCACAACCAACAAAAGCAAAAATAAGTGGGACTACATCAAACTAAAAAGCTTTTGCACAGCCAAAGAAACAATAAACAAAATGAAGAGGCAATCTATGGAATGAAAGAAAATATTTGTAAACCATATAACTGATAGGGGGTTAATCCAATTTAAAAATGCACAGAGGAAATCAACAACCATTTTTCCAAAGAAGACATACAAATGGCCAACAAGTATACGAAAAGATGCTCAACATCACTAATCACAGAAATACAAATTAAAGTCACATTGAGAGATCACCTCACACCTGTTAGTATGGGTATCAAAAAGACAAGAAATAACAAATGTTGGTGAGGAAGTGGAGATAAAGGAATCCTTGTGCACTGTGAGAAGGTGAACTGGTTCAACCACTATGGAAAACAGTATGGAGGTTCCTAAAAAAATTAAAGGGGCGCCTGGGTGGCTCAGTCGGTTGAGCGCCTGGCTCTTGATTTCAGCTCAGGTCATGATCTCAGGGTCCTGGGATGGAGCCTGGTATCAGGAGTGCTCAGCCAGGAATCTGCTTGCGGATTTCTCTCCCTCTCCCCCTGCCCCCGCACCTTGTGCACATGCATGTGCTCACACGTGCTCTTTCTCTCTCTCTAATAAATAAAATAAATAAATAAATAAATAAATAAATAAATAAATAAATAAATCTTTTTAAAAAACTAAATGATCCAGCAATGCCACTTCTGGGTAATATATCCAAAGGAAATGAAAACAGGATATCAAAAAGATATCTGCATTTCCATATTAATTTATTTATTTTTATTTTTTTAAGATTTTATTTATTTATTTTGACAGAGACACAGCAAGAGAGGAAACACAAGCAGGGGGAGTGGGAGAGGGAGAAGCAGGCTTCCCA